GGTGGAGGATTAGCCTATTGAGCCTTAGCGCTGGCCTATGGAAAGCACTTTTATGTTTCATTCGTTTTTCTTTTTTAAAGACTTATTTTTTTATTTATTTGAAAGACAGAGAGAGAGAGAGAGAGAGAGATCCATCTTCTTGCTGGTTCACTCTCCGAATTGCCACAATGGCTGGGGCTGGGCCAGGCCAAAGCCAACAGCCTGGAGCTTCTTCTGGCTCTCTCACCTGGGTTCAGGGGCCCAAGGACTTGGGACATCTTCTGTTGCTTTCCCACTGGAGCAGTCAAGTCTTGAGCTGGCACCCTTGTGGTGTGTCTCAAGCAGTCTTAACCTTCTATGCTACAACATTGCCCCTTTCAATCCTTTCTAATTTTTCTTTTCTTTAAGATTTATTTGAAAATCAGCCACAGGGAGAGGAAGAAACAGAGATCTTCTATCTGCTGTTTCACCCTGTAGATGCCTGCAATAGCTAGGACTGGGACAGGCCAAAGCCAGTAGCCTGGAACTCCGTCTGGGTCTCCCACATGGATGGCAAAGGGCCCAAACACCTGAGCCATCCTTGAAGGCTTTTCCCAGGCTACCAGCAGGGAGCTGGATATTGGTGGCTCCACCTGCTGTGTCACAATGCCAGCCCTCATGTTCCATTCTTTTTCCTTCTCAATTCTATTTTTTGATGCTTTGTGATATGCAGATAAATACATAAATATATAATCATTTTAGGTATTCATCAACACAGTAGAAATTAATTGTTCATTATTGTTCCTATTTGAGAGTAAGAGAATGTGATATGTTCAGAGTAGGCTCCTGAAGTTGTTTTACTTTTTTTATTTCAATTTTTTGACACATAAAAATGTGTGTGTTTTATGGTGTATTATGATGTTTTGATAGATACATGATATGTTTAATCAGGGTGTATACATATTTTTCTTTAAGCATTTAACATCTGTTTATAGTAAAAATATTCATGCCCCTATAATCAGGTTTTTTATGTAGACAGTTTTTTGAATAATATTTAGAAAGGCTCATAGTACGATGAAATAGTTTTTGTCTAACATAAAATGTAATTGTATTTACCTATTCAGTTGTTCCTCAAATACTGTCTGTACTAAGATATATTTCAACTGTATTTATGGGCCCCAAATTATTTTTCACTACATTTTATGATTATCATATAATGAAAAGTAGTTATTGAAGGCTCTGATGGAAAATTTATAGCTTTGAAATCCCTATTTTAGAGATGATTATTTTGACTCCCAACTTAATGTAAATAATAAAAGAAATAGTTTTTAGTCTTAACACTATATGCTGAGACACTATAGTCCTGTGGTAGCTGGTTAGGGATTAATGGGTTGGGTTATTTTAAAATAAAGCATTTTGGTGTAGTACTTCTATTTGACTTAAAGACTTTCAGATCTCTGATTCATATGATATACTAATTGTACCGCTGTAATACTGCCTTATTTAATTGATTGTTAATTACTTTTTTCTTTTTTTTTGTTATGAGTTGGTGTATAAGGAGTGTTTGAGAATTTGAATGGCACTTTATATTGTTGTTTTGCTGTTTTCTTTTCCAGTTACTTTTCATTTTGTGTGTGTCAACTCTTGAACCTACTGAGGGTCCTTCTGACCTTGAAGTAATTTTAAGTCTTCACCTCAGAATTTGGAAATAATTTGGACATGGTTATTTTTACAGTTTGAAAACAAATTGTCATATGAAGACTTTAATATTTCATTGAGTGGAGGACACAGACACTGAATACTTGGTATTGAAAGAGGCTTTTCATGAGATACCAGTCTTCTTTCCTTCCTGAGTTTTGTACATGTAGTGAGTAGAAATGTAGACTAAGTTTTAGCACAGTTTAGTGTCAGATTCTTTTTAATGGCATAAGAGATTGGTTATGTAATCCAACAAGTGTTCATTAAAAAGTAATTCACAAAATATCGAGTAATAGGGGAAAAGTTTTCTATCTGTAAATGCTCATTTAACATTGTTCATTCTCATGGCACTCAGGATACTTTCCCTATATACCTTGTTCTTCTATTCTTCCTCACTTCTCCTTGTCTACTCCCTCAATTACCATTTACATCAAGTGATAAGATAATTTGAATTTAAATATAATATGGGAGAGGTAGGGTAGAGACCTTTTCATCCTTTGTTACACTCTCTGTGGCCTCAAATTTCCATTTCTACAGGGAAACCAGTCATCCTAGATGAATGTGATCTCTTAATTAGAAATTCTTTAGTCTTGTGAAACTAGTAATTATCTTGGACAGACTTGTACAGTTTTAATTTTTTTTCTTTGTTGAGATACTTATTTGGTTTAACAAATTTTTATTGTTAAGAATTCAGGAATCTGCCTTTTCAGACAATTTTTGAGTTTTTTTTTTATGATTTTATTTATTTATTTATTTGAGAGGCAGAGTTACAGACAGTGAGAGGGAAAGGCAGAGAGAAAAGTCCTCCTTCCGTTGGTTCACTCCCCAAATGGCTGCAACAGCTGGAGCTGCGACGTTCTGAAGCCTGGAGCCAGGTGCTTCTTTGTGGTCTCCCATGTAGGTGCAGGGGCCCAAGGACTTGGGCCATCCTCTACTGCTTTCCCATGCCACAGCAGAGAGCTGGATTGGAAGAGGAGCAGCCGGGACTAGAACTATGGGATGCCGGTGCCACAGGCGGAGGATCAACCCACTGTGCCACTGCGCCACGGCTCAATTCTTGAGTTTTTAAGCCTTTTCAAGTATATGGTTTTCTTTTTGATCATGTGCATCATCATGGCAATCATGATAAAATATGAATTGTCTGGTGTGTTAATCACTGTGTTATTAAATGCACTAAACTATTCAGTCCTTAAAGTGCTGATGTTATTTTCATGATTGGCAACCTTAAGTGGTAATTCATGTAACTTAAAGATCACACAATTGATGATATCAATAGGTCTTAATTATATCCCTGTGTTGCTGGTTAAAATAACCTGAAACTATTCTCTTTTGTCTTTAACAATTTTGTTTGTTTAGAACTTCATGCCTTTCAATGGCTTTTTGAGACAAATAGTGTGGAAGCTACCTACTGATGTTTGCTGTCTACTCCAGTTTCACAAATGTGCATTTACCCATGTTCATATGGCTATACCTGATTTGATGGGTCTTTTCTTATTACTTTCCTGAAGCATTTACCTTGTTTTTCCACATCGTGTAATCTTCTTAGTTTCTTAAAAGATTTATTTTTAATAATTATTTGAAGATAGCAATGGAGGTTGTTGTGTCTTAAGAGTTGCCCATGAATTTTCTGCATCTGTCAAACCAGTATGTACTGATAACTGCAGGAAATGCCTATTATAAAGGGAGAAAAGGCATTTGCATTCTTTGGGAGGCTTCAAAACAATTGAAATAAATTTGAACTGCATTTTTAATGAAGGCAAACAATATCTTTCTGATTATAAAGTAATATGTGTTTATGGTTAAGGATTTGAATGCAGAAACAAACAAAAAATAAAAATTATTCGATGTAATCATTATTAACATTTTGATAGATACTCTGCTAAGGCATGGTGGCGGTGGGGTGGCAACCAAGATTTCTGGACATGTTAATTTGAGATGCGTGTTAGACTTAGAGGTAGTGATTTGAATAAATAGTTGGCTATGAGAGTAAGAAGTTTGAGAGAAGTTGAAATTATACCAGATGTAAATACAAGAGTGTTTAGCAGGTCCATGAATTACCACATCCCCCATGTGAGTCCAGGTGAGTTCTCCTAGGGGGTGTGCACAAAGATGAAGAGTGATCTGGGACTCAGCCCTGGGCTTTCTAGCACTTAGTGAGTATAAAGTGGAGGCCGATTCTCCAAGGAAAACTGATAAGTGGTCACCAGTATGGTGAGTGGGAATTCAAAAGATTGTGATAGCCTGGCAACCAAGGGAAGAAAAAGTTTCAGGGAGGAAATGATTAACCTACTGAATGGGATGCTGTGTAAGATGATTACTGAAAATTTGCCATTTGCTGTGTTTTCCATGGGGTAGAATGAGAAAGGCCTGATTTTAGTGGTTCAATTGAAATTGAAAAGAGATTGGGAAGTAGGGACAATATGAGTATAAATAGTTCTTCTTGGGAGTTTCATAAAGAGGAACAGAGCGAATTGTGGATTTAGGGGTATAGGGAAGTTCAGTAAATTTAATTTAAAGAAAGGAGCCGTTATAATATGTTTTGTATGACAATGGGAATGCTATATATTTCTGTCTCATTTCTTTTTCTTGGTGAGACTTTGCAGAAGTTTTGTCAGTTTTATTGGTCTCAAACAATCAGCTCTTGATTTATCGTCAGTTTAATTCATCAGTTCTACTAAAAGCAAGTGCAAACTTTGATTATGTGAGTGGCTTAGAAGTGTAATATATTTCATCAGATTCTGTAAGGCTGGTGGGTTGGCAGTTCAGCAGCTCATTTTTATAGAGAATACCCTTAAATTTCTAAATAACCTATTTGAATTGGATCTCTATCAATATTAAATTTCAAACAATATGTATAATACTGTTCCCAAACAGGAAGAAGTCTCTGTATTTATAATCATACTATTCCATTTCTGCTCTGACTATACAACTCCAACTGTAAACTTTTTTATTTTTAGTCTTATTTTTAACTCCACATTATTTTTCCTTCCCATTTTCTCTAATTCCATCTCCCAGTCATGCAGTTTCGTTTTGTGAAATTTAATAATGTTTACATTCTATTCTGTAACTCTAATTTTTTCCTGTTATTCATCTATTAAAACCAGCTTAGTATTTATGTTATATACTATGTCAAAATTGGGCTCTGAGCTTAGTAGTGTGCTATTACACTTCTTTGCTTACAATTTCACTGTCACCTTGTGCCACTCAAAAAATGTTTCTAGCATCAAATGCAATTAAAGTAATTATTGAGCACTCATTATGGGCCAGGCATTGTCTTTGAGAACATTATGTGTGTATTTCATTTCATTCTCCCAAAAGTCCTATTCTTGTTTATGTTTTGCCAGGAAAGAAACTGCCAGAGGGAGAGAGATACAAAGGAACTTCCTTAGTTGGTAATGTTATCAAGTTATGAAGTGTTCTTTTATACTGTGCTGTCCACACTTAGCTATCCAGAGCAGCTAGCTGTTAAGTTTGTGAGTTTCTGATAGTCCAAGTTTGAATGTATGCTTCCTGATAAGAATTATCTGGCATTCTTATCTCCAGCCCCTGATTGATTTTAGGGTCTTAGGTTAAGGCTGTCTGAAATGTGAGTACTTGGGAAGTGGTGTAGGTGTACTTTAGGAGTGTCTCAGTTTGGGAGTATCACTCTTTGAGGAAATTTTTGGGAATTTTTCCCTCTGCCTTTTTTTTTTTCCTTCCTCTTGCCCTCTGAGTTCCTTGTGGGAACCATAAGTTTAATTGGGATATTAACTGCTGCACCTTAAATTATTCCTCCTAGAGAACCTATAGTTAATGTCATATCTGGTGGTGCAATACTGCATACAATTCTTACAAGAGGGAATAAGATTGGGACATGCAGTTTTACTACTCACACTGTTTAGGCATTGCAATAGGGAAGGAAAAGAAATAAGAAGTATAAAGATGGGAAAGAAGTAAAATAGTTTGTTTTTACAGATAGGCTGACCACAAAACAGCTACCAGCAGAAGAGGATTAAGTAAAGTTGTAAAATGCATGGTTAATAGTTTAAAAATAAGTAGTTGCTTACATAGTAGCAGCAACAAAACGAAAACAACCAGAGAATGAGGTTAAAAAATCCAAATTTTGGAGCTGGCATTGTGGCATAGCAGGTAAGGCCACCACTTGAGATGCTGGCATCTCATTTGGGCATTGGTTCATGTTTTGGCTAGTCTACTTCCTATCCAGTTTTCTGCTAATGGCCTGGGAAAAGCAGTGGAAGATGGCTCAAGTGTTTGGGCCCCTGCCTCCCATGTGGGAGACCTGGATGGGGCTTCTGCCTCCTGCCTTCTACCTGGCCCAGTACTGGCCATTGCAACCATCTGGGGTGTGAACCAGCGGAAAAGGGAATCCCTGTCCCTTCCTCTTCTTTGTAACTCTGATTTTCAGAGTAAATAAATATTAAAAAAAAAAGTCTTTTTAAGTAATGGTACACATTAAAAATAAAAACCAAAATGCTTAGTAATAAATTTAACAAAAGATATGCATACCTTCTTTACTAAAAACATAATAATGCTGAGAAAAATTAAGTGGCGAGATACCATAGTCGTGTACTGGAGGACTTGTTTTTTAGATGTTGTTTTTTCCTAAATTTATCTGTAAGTTTCATTGTAATCAATATAAATTCTAACTCTTATAACTCAAGAATAAATACTCAAAAGTATTGGACACATCTCATCAAAACATACAGAAATAAGTAGTAAATGCATATACTTGTAAAGCTGCTCAACATCATTAGTCATCAGGAAGTATAACTTAAAACCACTAGGCATTTATTGGATAGCTAGATTACAATATCAAGGGTTAATGGGAATGTAGAGCAACTAGATTTTTTCGTACGCTGCTAGTAGCAATGTAATATGATGCAATTTCTTTCAAAAACTATTTAGCAATTTTTAAAAAGTTAACCATACTTTTTTGTTTACCCAAGAAAAATGAAGTATATGTCTATGGCAGATGTTCATTGAAGTTTCATTACAATAATCTCAAACTGAGAGCAAAGCAATCGCCCATCTTTATTGCAGTAGTCCATTAATTTATGTTGGTAAACAAATTGTGCAATACCCATAAAGTGGAATATTACTTAGCAATAAAAAGAGGTAGTCATGTAATGTATGCTGCAACAGGATTAACATTAAGCTGAATGAAAGAAACACTAAATTAGAAAATGTACTACATGATTCCATTTATATAAAAATAAAAAGAAACACATTCATTTATAGTGACATAAAATAGACCATTGGTTACCTGTAATTGGGACACATGGAAGGAGAGATAATAAACAGTCATGTGGAATTTTTAAGAGGGATGGAAGTTTATTTATCTTGGTTGTGGTGGTGGTGGTTTCATGCACATAAGCAAATGTCAAATTAAATCGTGTGTTTTAAGTAGATGCAGTTCATTCTATTTAACTTATATCTCAAGACTGATGAAAAACAGTGACAAATGCAAGGTAGAAAATAAATATTTAGTAAATATATTTTGTGGTGTGGATTAATTCTAGTTGCTAGTTCGTATTTTTCTAATAGAGATCTAAGGATCCTAGTAACTGTCAAGTAGTTGTCAAGTGTGTCATACAAATTAAAGAGTCAATTTTTTAAAGATTTAATTATTTTATTTGAAAGGCAGAATTACAGAAAGGCAGAGTCAGAGAGAAAGCAAGAGAGACATCTTCCATCCACTGGTTCACTCCCCAAATGGCTGCAATAGCCGGAGCTGGGCCGATCTGAAACCGGGAGCCAGTAGCTTCTTCTGGGTCTTCTACGTGGGTGTAGGGGCCCAAGGATTTGGGCCATCTTCTTCTGCTCTCCCAGGCCATAGTAGAGAGCTGGATTGGAAGTGGAGCAGCCGGGGACTCAAACTGGTGCCCATATGGGATGCTGGCACTACAGGGAGTGGCTTTACCCACTATGCTACAGAGCAGGCCTCCCTTGTTTTTTAAAATCTTTAATTAATAGGTGTAATAGTGGAATCCCTTAGTTTTGTTTTGGTTTTGGAGTTTGGATTTTCTGTCCCCCCCCCCCTTTCCTTTGTCCCTTTATATTATGACTTACAATTATTAAAGTTAAATTTGATTTGGGAAGGCAAAAAAACCTTTGTCTGACATCTGAATTAGATGAGTCTTTAAATAACTTCTTCGGACTTTTCTATTAGTTCATATCACCACCCTCAAGCTTAACTTTAGTTTCATAAATTTCAAATAATTAATCGGATCCAGTAAATATAATTGTGATCTTTAATATTAGGAAAAGTAAATGGTAAAAGGCCTAACTTATCCTGAATGGGACCTTACATAGTTCTGTAATAATCATGAGCTATAAAAATTGCTGTGTTTTTTTTTTTGCATTTTAAAAATACTATGGCATCATTAGTTATATATAATTTTAACAAATTAAAGTAATTATCCCATCTAACATCTAAAATCCTTAAAAAATATATGATTTTTGGTGTTGCTACAAGCATCTCTGCTACATACATTTATTCACCATTTCTTGTTTTACATTTTATTCAGCCTTTAAAAAATATATTCATCCATATACCACATCCCATCATTCTTAACATTTTTATTAAAGCTGAGGGGAAATGATTTTAGAAAATGCAGTGATCAGAAATGGATAAACAGTTGTGATATATGTGTATATATTTATTTTTAATTTGAGAGAGAGCATGTGTGCATGCATGCGAAAACACTCTCATCCCCTGGGTCACTCCCTGCAAATGCCTGCAGTGTCATGACTGGGTTTCAAAAACCTAATTAATTGAGCTATCACTGCTGCCTCCCAGAATCTGCATTAGCAGGAAGCTTCAGTCCAGTGGAGGAACCAGATTATCAAACCCAGCTACTCTGATGTGGGGTATGGGTGTTCTAATGGACAGTTTAACCACTAGCCTAAATTCCCACCTTGGTTGTGATATTTCAGCCTGCAACGGGTTGAAGAAATTAGCACGTCTTGGATACTGAGTTATGCTTCCTGGCAGGTCAATCATATCTTAGGATCTTGGGAAAATTGCTGTCTTAAATTACTGTCCTGATTTACAGCCCCACAGACTTTTGATATTAAGGTTCTTTCAAAATTGGGAATGATAAAAAGAAAAGCAGTGGCTTTAAAATGATTCTTTTCTTTCATATCTGCATCTAAAATTAATATATGTTTTTTATAAGGACCATTAAAGAAATAAAGTTATATACATTTGTTGAGTCTTTGTCACCCTCTTGAAAAATTGAAGATAAGGTTCAGTTAAAGTCAGAAGACCACTTACACCCTGTGTATTTTGGCTGTATCATAACAAAAACTGGTTTAGGGAATTTTGAAGCTTAGGCCAGAGCTGAGGAAGATGTTATAATAGGAGGAATTTGCATATCTTCTGAGCCATTGAGGACCTGACCTTGAGATTTAGTTAGGCAACAGTAGTTGACAGGTGATGAAGGTGGTATCAGGCAGAAGCAGTGTGGAGGAAAAGACAGAAATTCCAAATCCACTGAAAATAAGGGGAAGTCAGTCTTTGAGGAATCGACCAGGCTGCAGCTCCAGGACACCGTTTTTATATGAAGGTCACATAATTGCCTGTATGCACTATTGCTAAGTAATGTCCTCCAGTTACTGCTTGTGCCCATGCATGCATACACAAATTTTACTAACAACTGTTTTGTGAAGAATTGTTCTCATGAACTGAATATTATGGTTAATTGAAAATTGACCAGAAAGTAGTTTTTATTTGAAGAGTTACTATATATGAATACCTTTTAGAATGTCCACATTCCTGTGTAAATTGGCTATAATGATTATTCTTATCTGTTTCACCTTGAGACATCATTCTCATTCTGAACATATCTTTCTGAGTATAAGGACTAATTTGTGTTTTCATGGGACCTGATGCAGCATGTAGTACAGGTAAACACATGTGTAAGTATGTGTGCCATTGTTCAGTAGAGATAAAACATGGATAGTAATCTTTTTCTTGTAAATGAATACTTGGTGTTAGACTACTTATTGTTCCTTCTACTAAGGATTAAAATACAACACAATCCTTTGAGACTATAGGTAAATAAAATTTTAGCTATTTAACACACGTGAAACTTTATCCTCGTACATAGTTATCTTCTGATTCTGTTATGTGAAGCATTGTAGGGCTGGCTCCATGATCAGATGTTCTCAGATTTTTAAAAGTTTTTATTTAAGTAAATTATCTTAAGTTATTGAAATGTGATATGGCTACAACATTTTGTCTTACTTTCTCTATTATTTTGAAAGCAAAGCATCAAATGGTTAACTTATTAAAACTAAAGTAGTGTGTATTGAGAGCAGAGAGCAGAAGTTATTGCCAAATTAAGGTGCAGGAAGCTTAGAAAATGCCTGTTCATCCTTTATCAGCATT